CACTTGTCCATGTATTATTTTATTATTGCTAAGCTCTATAAGCTAACCTAACTCCTATTTTTGAAGACTAATAATTATATACTTGAAAACTTGACGAAGCAAAGGCTTAGAGATCAATTGATTCCATATAATAATAATTAATACTTAGAAAACAATGATATATATTTCTCAAGATACTTGAAAAGGAGACTTTGTAAATAGTATGGTTGTCCAATTGTGTTACTTAATAGAAATCTAAAGATTTTCCTTCTATAGTTAATTGGCTAGCTAACGACTTTTAATGCCAAGTTGAGCTTATTTTAGTGATGTAGGTCAATGGTTTGGAACTTTGGATTAGCCTTTGAATTGAATCACTAGTTAATCTTGTGATGAGATCTATAAGTATAAATAATATGTGTGATTTATGACTGCCTATATTTTATGAAAACTCAAAATACCCCATGTTATTAATAATTCAGAGAATGCAAATAAAATTATTTATAGAACCCTTCCTCTATTTTTAAGAAAAAAAACACACATTTTCATATTATAAATTTAAAAAAAAACAAATATCAATTTTATTTCATTTAAATATTTTTATTTTAAAAATACATATTTTTTAAAGATAAAATTAAATATAAATTATATTTAATTTGTTTTCTCTATCGTCTTTTATAAACAAAGAAATTGTTGGAAATATAAAAAAAATACTTTGATGAACATTGTTCATATATATTTAGATTCATGCATTTAGAGAGTTGGACTATTATTTATTTTTACTTTAAAATATAATATGTAATTTATTATATAGTGTGTATAAATATCCTAGTTGTTAAGTGCTTTACTCACTCAATCACATTCATAAAATTTCTTATTTCTATTTTTCATATGGCATCAGAGCTCTTAATTTAGGGGATTCTACTTCTGCTAATCATTATTTAGATATTTGATTGGGCAATTTTATACTGCTAGAACCCTTAAATCTTGATTGGCTAACACTTGATGTCAAATATTTTTCAATTAAATAGTGTTTGTTCTTTCTGACCTCCATTTGCACAATTTTGTACTTCATCTAATAGATGTTTGTCCATCTATTGTCTCTACACTTTTCGGAAGCCGTTCGTACAATTTTCTGTCACCGTCGGTACAATTCTGCACATTTTTCAGCAGCCGCCTGCACAATTCCAGACGTTATCCCTACATTTTATGTGTTGATTTTTTTATCGAATCTTATTTTCTTGTATATCTTATACATAAATATTTAGTGGTTGTTTTTGTTTCCTTTATGACGAATATTATGGAAAAGTCATTAGATAATTGCAATGTGGCGTATTTTGGTAAGCTTCCACTCTCATTTAGATTTCATGTCTCAGAAACACCTTCTTGCTTATTTTGAATATTAGATTCAAGAGCCACAGACCACATGACACCCTCTTCGAAACAGTTCTCCACATATTCCCCTTGTCTCAGTAATAAAAAAAATTCTATTACAGATGGTACTCTTGTAATTGTAGCTGGCATTAGAGATATCCAAATAAATCATTCTATAACCCTAAAAAGGATACTCCATGTTCCAAAACTATCCATGAACCTAGTCACCATACAAAAACTTACAAATGATTTATTCTGTAGTGTGACATTTCATAATGATTGTTGTATATTTCAGTATAAGGAGACGGGAAAAACGATTGGACGTGCTAGAGAAAGGAATGACTTTTACTATCTTGAAGAATCATGTTAGTATACAAAAGTTCACTTGTCCCACTCATTTATGCCAGAGTTAGTACTCTCTAAAAAGGAAAAAAAAAATATGTTGATTATGTCATCCTTCTTTAAGTTTTGTTTCCATCTTTATTCAATAAGGTAGATAATGAAAGTCTTCATTGTGATATGTGCGAGGTTGCTAAACATAAACGTTTACATTTTCCATTAAACAACAAAAGAAGTTTTTTCCCGTTCTATCTTATTCATTCAGATGTTTGGGGTCGCTCTACCAATCCAACTGTAACTGGTGCTAGGTGGTTTGTTACTTTTATAGACGATTGTACCCGAATTACGTTGGTGTTTTTACTCTAAAACAAGTCTGACATCAGTACTATTTTCCCAAAAGTTTTCTACATGATTAAAAATAAATTTTGAGTAAACATAAAAAGGCTTAGAATTTGAAAACTTCACAGACCCATTTATCAAATTTAACAGAAAATGAAAATTCTCTATCAAATTTGAAAACTTTTTCAATAAATTAAAATACTCTGATGGAATTTTTCAGACAATTTCCGAGAATGAGTGATTGAACATTCCAAAAATAAAAAATTAAACTTTCAATTGGGGATTTTAGAATTTTGAAATTAGTGGAATAGAGGAATGAAAAACTGAAATTGGTTGAAAACTCAGAAAGAAAATGGGAAATAGATTGATGAGAATGAGGAAACTGAGAAACTTGATAGAGAAATCAAAGTGGGAATGAGAAGAATTTGAAAATGGGTTGTGGTTTTTTTAGCAGCGTTTCAAAAATGCAACAATGGAGAAGACAAAGACAAATGGAAAAGTCAAAAGTGCCCTCTTTTTTATCATGATTAGACAAAAATACCCTTGGTTTTATAGTCGTTTGAGATTATTTTTTGAACCTTATATTCCACGTGGAAGAAAATATCCACGTCAGTTACATGTGTGCGCCACATGTACATTAACATTGACTTTGAATAATGTAGCTAACGAAAAAGATGAACGTGACACAAATTAAACAATTAAAGGATCGATTTGAAACTTTTTAAAATTAAAAGACCAAAATGAATTCCGAGATAAAATTAAAGGATAAAAAAATATATTGTCATAAAAAGTTAATAAAAATTATGTGATTTTTACTTTAAAATAATAATGAGATTTATATTAAAAATAATACTATAAAAATTTAATTACATCTTTTTTCCGTAACATAAAATTTTTTTTCTTCAAATAATAAGATTCTACTAAAAATAATGTGAAAATTATAATTATAATTTTCTTTTGTAATATGATTTCTTTTCAAAACATTTATTAACTTATCAATATAATTTTATTTTTATTTTGTAACATTATTATGAATAAGTTAAAAAATGATTTTTTTTTCAAAACTTCTTTTTTATAAAAGTAGATTTTAAAATAAGGGGACAATAACTTAAGAAAAATGATTAAAGGATCAAAAATTTAATTAAACTAAAAAATAAATATAAAAAGATCAAGTCGTCAGTTCAAGAAATTCAGAGTTTACTAATCTAACTAGTGAATTGATTGAGTAACATCAGTTTTTATTAGGTCAATTGTAATTATGGCCTAATGATCTTATGAAACCACTTTATTCTCTGATTCACGGTTTGATTAGTCCAATCAATCGGAACGGTTTGAATTTTAAAACACTGAATCTACTTTAATTGATAAATATAAAAATATTTAATTACATATTTATAAGTTCAAATTCACGACATCAATAAATTCAAATTAACGACATCTCATTGTTTACGTATAAAAGGAGTAATCATAGTCATTAGACTACTAAATCAATTTTTGTTATATTACCAATAAGAGTACTCATAGTAATTAATGCCCTTAATAAATATAGTAATTAATATTAATTTTTTATAGTTTGGGACTCAAATTATTGTTATAAAAAATTAGTTAATTATTAGTATCGCTTTTAACTAAATTTATATTTTGAATATGTTATTAATATGATTTTAACTAAATTCATATTTTGCACATTCATATCCAAAATACAAATTAAATTAGTCAAATTTAAAAATATAAAAAAATCTTGTTTTTCTTCTAAATTTTCATTTTTGAAAAATAATATCATTTTGGAAAAAAACATTGAGAATTTAAATTTTTTCCAAAAATTAAAAAATAATAATAATTTTTTTTTAAGTTTTTATTTTAAAATAAAAAAAACATATGGATTAAAAAATTGTTTTTGAAAAATAATGGATTAAAAAATGATTTCTTTATTTTTGAAAATAAATATTTTTTCTTAAAATAAAAAAAAATGTTTTTTTTAAATAAAAGATTCTAAAAAAATAATTTTAAAAGAATAAAAATCGATTATATCAATTAATTTCAATAACTGATTACAACATATAAATTAAGTGATAGTTTGATTATAAAAATGGGTAATGCTAACTTGTGCCCCAAGGGCACAAGTTAAAAAAACTATAAATAGTAAATTTGTATTGAAAAAAACAATAAAATCATTAATTGTAAAATTGTATTAAATTTATTACACAATTTCTCAAAAAAATTTACTATATTTATCTCTTAATTGTGTCCCAAGGGCACAAATTAGCATTACCGTATAAAAATTAACGTGTATAAGCATCTCTATTTATAGTTTTAAAAAATAAAACAAATGCATGTTTTGTAATGGATTATTCAAAACCACTGTGATAAATAAAATGAAATGATAAATTATAAATTTACTAAATTAAAATTGTGGATGAGAACTTGTGACTTTGCAACAAATGAAATAAATGAACTTGAATAACCTTCTAAAAACTTGATCACACTGAACTTGAATAACCTTCTAGAAACTTAACTTAATCAAATGTAATTTGTAAATAATTCTGCAACAAAACAAGTCAATTGAATTTTTTGTAGTGTTTGCGAAAAATGAATATCTCTAAATTTACCTTATTGTTAATACAAAAATATATCTTCGAATTAAATGTTAGAAAAATAAAGATAACTCACCAATGTGTATTGAAAATTGTGTAAAAAGAAATGTCTGAAAATCTCTAAAATTTTCCCTAGTATTTTTATGTGAAACCTAAACTTACAAACAATTCTAAAATTAGTTGTACCATCTTTTATATGAAATTACAAACCCTTTTATTAAAGTTTTGAGCAACTGTGTCAATGTTGTGCAAAATTTGTTCTTTCCTTTTTTTAGTATGTACACAATAACTGAAAACAGCACCAAAGTACCATAGAGATAAAAACAAAAGACTAGCTAAGAGTAAGAAGCATGTGCTACAAAGAATAAAATGACAAGATTAATTCTCCACCATCTTTGGATTGCTGTACATTTTCACTATCACTTGTAAACTCTCTGGTTTCTCTCTTTCTTCAAGCCATTCATACTCTTTCTTTTCTTCTTCTGCTATGGATACTCCATCAACTGAAATTTCAAAAACAATCATTGCATTATTGTAAGAGTAAGAAAACATACCCCTCAAATATTGATTTATGCTATTGATCAAGAAAAGTGCTTATATATGTTTATATATGATTTTGTGTATGTGTTGAAGACAGACACATGTTGGACATCAGACAAACACACTTAAGAAAAGTGTCAATACTATAGATGTATAGAGGTATCGGTATTTGGCACGAGATTTTACTATAGATGTATAGAGGTATTGGTATTTGGCACGAGATTTTAAGTAGAATCGGTCGACTTGTGAAAGATCGTAAAAATCTAATTGTCAGCACATACATTGGTGTGTCGACATATTAGTGTTGTGTCTGATGTTCGTGTTTCATACAATAATTACAATTATTTTGTGCACCATAAGCGCATAGTAATAGGTATTGGACGATAAATAAAATCTTGTACCTGGAAAGTTGGAGAAAGGAAAACTTTGATAGTATGAGCAGTGTCTGCCATCAGGATCAGAGTAGGGAGGACCAAGAACATCTAGAACAGCACAAGCTGTGACTGCAGTGAAGCAATGCATGTTGCCACCATCATTAGGATAAAGGATGGAAGGATTGCAAGGAGCAGTGAAATCAGCATCAACCTTCACTTTCGCCAATCTTTTCTCTGGTGTCTCGGCTGCGCCACAATTTCAACATGCATATTAATCTTCTATATTTACAAGTCCCAACAATCCTCACAAAATAAAATTATACTCCCTCTTATCATAGAAATTACTTTTTAGATTCATTGAATAATAACTAATATATTTGAACAATACATAGACCAGATACACTATTTTTTTCAATGAATCTAAAAGATAAACTTTTTCTAATCGATAGCACTAACGCTAGCATGAAAATTAAACGCATTTTTCGGCCAAATAAGAAAACACTCACTTTGTGAGACATCGGCATGCAAGTTAACAGCCCAATCATAAGATTTGATGTGCATTGTTCCGAAAAGAAGCTTGCTAAAAACTGTCATTTCAGGGTGATTGTGAAGAGGAATTACTGCTGAAGGTGGCAAGCAAAATATTCCCATCTGCAAAACATCAAAATCAAAATAAATAAGTAAAAAAGTTAAGTTGCACTTTGAAGTAATGTTGGAAAAATCAGACAGAAAGGTGAGAGCTTAGTTACCGAGAATTTTTCACACTCAAAAATGTGAAGGTACGTAATTTTCGGCGTTCCAGCATTGTTATTAGTGAAATATGGCATTTCAGGCTTCAATCCTAGGTCTTCTGGTTTTATTCCAGCTACACAAAGAAATGCCAGAGTCAATAAACATTGAAAAATTAATATATTTGGTCAAATACATTAATTATTCAATTCATTTTAAAAGTAAATTTTGCTTAAAATATGAAATGGACACATTGAATTCTTAACATCATTCACTCTCAAACAATGACAAGTGCCAAATCATTTATTACATTCACAAGCATTAAATTATTTTTACTTTGCACTAATTAGACCAATTTATTGGTTTCCAACTACCATCAAATTTAAGTTATCACAAACCTACAACCCAATTGGTTGACTCTTTCCAAGTTAAAAGAACCCTAACTTCAAGCATTTATGAACCACCTACATTTAACTCATCATTACTATCTCCAAAGAACATTTCATTAGATTCATAAATAAATATAACAAAATTAAGTGCATTGACAATGTGAGATATAATCATTCATTAAAAAAAATAAAGACAATGTTATATTATACAACACAATTCACGCATATGTAACACCGACACTTCTGAAAAAATATGTTTGTTTTCTGTGTTCGTGATTCATAGATAGACAATAGCATTGATATCATGTAAGGGTAGATAAACCATATAATGAGTAATTTTCTAATGGAAAAACAAACATAAGATAATAAGAAGTATTAAAATTTGATGTGATCAACATCTTACAATACATAAATGATTCTAGAGAACATGCAATATTAATCAATTTTCCACTTTTCCTAATCAGATATATATGATAAAACAAAAACAATAAATCATTCCAATTATCATTCAATAAAGGAAAATTCATCTGCATACACATTTAAAAATCATACACAAAGATTCATTACTGATCCAAACTTTTCAACTTGAAATGAAAAGAAAAAAAAAAACAGTTGAAAAACCAGATTAAACAGGCACAATAATACGGTAAACTAATATCAAAAAAAGAGAAATTTGTACCTAGAATAGAACTAAGCAATTCAATGTGTTGAGAAGAAGGAACAATTCCAGGTGAAGCATTAGCAAAAACATGTTGACAAGCAAGAAAAAGTTTCTGAACCGGCGACATCTTCATCCACTGTCGATGTCGCCGGTTCTTTCTAGATTTCATGTTGTTGGTATTCGTTTCTTCAAACACTTCACATAACTCTCCCCCTTTCCCATCCTTCAAGTTTCTCTCAATTCCCATTGAAACAGAGCAAGAAAAAGACCCAGATAAGAAAAACTGAAAAAGAATAGAACTTTAGTAGATGAATGGATTCAAAATGAATCCAGGGTGTTGTGAAGGGAACTTTAGAAAATGGGTGTGGAAGAAAACGGAGAAAAAGTTGAATGAAACAGAGAAAACAGAGGAAAACAGGGGAAAACAGAGGAAAACAGGGGAAGTAGAAATGAAAGACGAATCTCAAGAATGAGATGAAAAAGACAGAGAGAAAGACAAATATAAATATGAGGAGAGAGAGAGAGAGAGAGAGAGGGGAGAGAGAGAGTGGTTTGGAGAAGTGAAAATGAAAACCAGGGGCCATGTTTAGAATTTCAGTGGGCTGCTTTCAAACAGTGGATAATATTTCCTACTTTTCTTTTTCCAGATGTTACTTATACTTTTTTTCCTCTCTTTTTATCATATATAATACTATTTTTTTTATTATGTCACATTTAAAAATAAATTTAATTGATATATACTTTTACAAGTTTTTTATATTTCTGTTAAACACAACTTTTAGAAAACTTAACTTTAATTTTAACCGCTTTTATACTAATAATACATAATAGTTAATCTTTTTAAAAATTATAAATCTATCCTAAATTTTAGCTCAATTTAAATTCGAATTTAAATACTATGTAAATTTATAATGATTATTACGATTATATATATATATATATATATATATATATATATATATATATATATATATATATATATATATATATATATATATATATATATATTATGAAAAAGTGTAAAATAATTTAATATTAATATATAATGATAAATAACAAATAATGTGTATTGTGTCGAATTACAAAAATATTTTAAAATAATTGTGTTAAAATAGAAGACTGTATAAAATATGTTACATAGGACTACATTAGTTTGAGTTTTTAATTTTAATTTATTTAATTTTTAAGTATTATTAATAAATAGTAAATAATAATTTTATAATTTTATTTTATAATTTCTCTTTTGTATATTATAATAATTATATTTTTTTAATATAGATAAAATAACATATTGGTTTTAATAATAAATTACTTTTTCTGTTTTATAAAAAGTATCATACTTGAGCAATACACAGTTTTTAAGAAAATAACTTAATATATTGCTTTTAATTAAAAGCTAATATTGTTTATTAAAATATCTTTATAATTAATAAAATAGTTGAATAAAATAAAAATGAATGAATAAATATACACTAGTGAGAAAATAATAAAATACTATGTTGATAATGTAAATAGAAATTATTTTAAAATAAATAAAAAATATAAATGAGACATTTTTATAAGACGTAAAGAATTAATGTAACATTTTTAAATTTTTTATAAATAATTATATTAGATTGGTTACAAATGGTGCAAAATCGAATATAATTAGATGTTTATGTCAAGTTTTTATGTATAAGAAGAGGATTAACTTCAAAAACATTTACAATAAAATTAAGTAAACAAATGTCTTTAGAAAATCAAAATAGTCATATTTGTGGGAATGGTTTTATCGTATCTTAAATTTATCCAAGAATAAACATATTTGTTGCTTTTTTAAAAGACAAGTTTGATTCTCATTTGTTAATATTTTTTAAGTAGTTTCAAAAAAAAAATCGTTACTACTGTGTAGACTTAAGAACTTAGTTTTGAGCATAAATTATAGTATTTGGTAACTAAAAAATCAATTATTAATGTCAAGTCAATATTTCGAACACAATTTTTTATTTTAAATTATTTTCTTTTAATTATAAATATTAATTTCCAACTTTAAATAAGAATCTAATTTTGAATAGAAATTTAAATGAGAGTGTGACAAAGATGGAAAGAAGAGGGATAAGGATCACACTCCTTCTAGAATGGTCTAAATTTCCAAAATGTTAAAAAAATATATTTGTAATGATTAAGTATTATATTTTAAATATTTATATTGTTTTTTATTATTTTAAAATAAAATTTAATTAATATGTATGTAAAGAGATTTTAATAATATTCGACTTTTATCTTAATAATTAATCTATAAAATAATATTTATAAATAATATTTCAAAAATAAATATTTACAAACCGACACTAATGCATTGGTTGTGTAATACAGTCAATATATAGCAATTAATCTCTTTAAAATAATAACCAATGTTTTAAATCTAACTACTTTAATTATAAAAAATTATTATTTCTGATTTATAAATTAAATAATTTAATAGATTTAAATGCATTTTATTTTATATTTTGTCTAAATTAAAATCTAGTGTTTTTATTAGAATAACATTTAATGTTTATAAGAAAATAAACATGTTAGATCCTTACACGTCAATCTTCTAGAAGTGGTTTCAAAATTCTCCTATTTAGTTTGCACTTCTAAAAATTTAGTTTTAAATACAAGTGAGACTTAGTTTTCAAAAAAGGTCAATTCTTTATAGCAACAACATTAGCACCACTGTCTCGATTTTAATTTATTTCCAATTTATTATTGGTATTAGTTTTTGAAATTTTGTTCATATCATAGGAAGCCACATACAGTATTGAAGTATTGAAATAATGTGTATGACAATTATAAATACTAACACCCGTAAAAAAAAATCATAAGGCCTAACAAAAATATTAATTAAGAAAAATGATTAATACAAAAATTGTTAATTTAGTTTAGTGTAAAATAATTTATCTTTAGAAGAGAACAGTTCTGATCTGACCTGATCAGAAGGGGATCACTGGATGGCCACGCTCCGTTGGACTGCTACCTGTTCACCGGTGATGAGGAGGAGAATGGGGGTGTACCTGCAAGACACTCCGATGTCAAAGTGAGAAATTGGGCAGAGTGACAGCAAATACAGAAAGTTGGTAGAGAATTGAATACCTGACCCTCTTGGTGAAGAGGGTATTTATAGAGAGACCCCAGTGCTGGGCCAACGGTCGTTTGAGTTGGGCTGGATGGCCAGGCCCAATCCAAATGACTGTTAGGGCTTACGTGGCGTAGTGAAGACCGAAATGTGGTCTTCGCCCTAGTCCAACTGCTCCGTGATCTCCGGAAAGTGGGTTTGACCTACTCTTTCGGAGATGGGCAGTTGGTGGATGACGTGTCCCCACGGAGGGGAGCACGCGGAGAACGTGTGGAAGGCACGTTGTGCTGCCCGACGAGATGGGCACCTGCCCGACGGGAGGAGGTTTTGCCCGACGGGATGGGCACCTGCCTGACGGGAGGAGGTTCTGCCCGACGAGATGGGCACCTGCTCGACGGGGGGAGGTTCTGCCCGACGAGATGGGCACCTGCCCGACGGAAGGAGGTTCTGCCCAACGGGATGGGCACCTGCCTGACGGGAGGAGGTTCTGCCCAACGGGATGGGCACCTGCCCGACGGGGGGAGGTTCTGCCCGACGAGATGGGCACCTGCTCGACGGGGGGAGGTTCTGCCCGACGAGATGGGCACCTGCTCGACGGGGGGAGGTTTTGCCCGACGAGATGGGCACCTGCCTGACGGGAGGAGGTTCTGCCCGACGAGATGGGCACCTGCCCGACGGAAGGAGGTTCTGCCCGACGAGATGGGCACCTACCCGACGGAAGGAGGTTCTGCCCGACGAGATGGGCACCTGCCCGACGGGGGGAGGTTCTGTCCGACGAGATGGGCACCTGCCCGACGGAAGGAGGTTCTGCCCGACGAGATGGGCACCTGCCCGACGGGGGGAGGTTCTGTCCGACGAGATGGGCACCTGCCCGACGGAAGGAGGTTCTGCCCAACGGGATGGGCACCTGCCCTGCTCATCAGTGTGGTCCAATTGGGCCCAACCTCAGTGGGACTTGGGCCTTCTCGATTGTGGGCTAAGCCTCGACCCAGTCCAGAACAAGTTCAATAAGAGAAATTCATTTTTAATAATCGATAGTACATGACGGTCTCATGTTAACTTCTCTAGTTTAGTTTTATTTTTCTAATACTATTCGTAAACTTCAATCCAAAATCCTCCTAAATTTGGGATCCCTTTCTCACTTTCACTCAAATATTTTTTTAACTGTTTGTACAATTACATAAATATATGAAGTGATAAATCACAATTACAATGCAAATATTAATCTTTTTAACTTTGAGAGATAATTCCGAAATAGAGTATTACAAATCCAAAAATCAAAGACTCAATGAAAACTATTAAAACGTCAATTTAAAATATAAGGTTTGAGTATTTACAAGAGGTGGAACGCCTTCTTAAATAGCAATAGCATCCAGCATAAGACAGCTGAATTCCAAAAAGCGCAAGAAAGGTCAATCTTTATAATGTTGATTTTGAATCTTGATTAAAATCAAATCTAATTAAATCTGAATTTGATATAAATCAAAATTTTAATCTCTCTAGTAAATGATTTATGATAAATCTTTTTCACATAAGAATGCCATTTAAATCAAATATTTTATGAATCATCCTCATCTCTCTATCAAAAGGATTCATGATAAAACTTTTTCACTACGCACATCCTTATGAGCAACCTTCTAGATTAGATATTTGTATCAAATCAACTTTAAAGGACGCATAAAGATAATAAAGCAGGTTGGAATCTTACATTAGATAATAAAGATAATATAGTCTTGCCCATTTAACTTAGAGATCACATCAGATACGAAAACAACATAACATAAAGATGTGCTTACTCCCCTGTTTTGCATAAAATGGGCAAATAAAGGAGACTATTAGGCCTATAAGAGCATATAAAACAAGGAGCATATTATCCGAGTTAAAGAACACTGACTTCAAGCATTTATGAACCACCTACATTTAACTCATTATTACTATCTCCAAAGAACATCTAATCAGGTTTAAAAATAAATACATCCAAATTAAGTACATTGACAATGTGACACAAGGACATAAAAAAGAAGTATAAGTAAGATATAACTATTCATAAAAAAATATAAAAAAAGACAATGGTATATTATATAACACAATTGGCACATATGTAACGACACTTCTGTAAAAAGATGGGTCGGTATTTGTGTCTGAAATCG